TAACTTGTATTATTGTTGACATGAACCTTGTTTGCCACTCTAAGTGGTTGACATGTAACCCCAAGACAAGAAACTCCATCATAGCTCGATTGCTAGGACCCTCATGAAATCTTTGAATCGATCTGGCTACGCTTATAATAATTTAAGCTGTACAATAATTTACCGTACAACCACAAGTATCTACATATGTTTCTAGACCTATAAACATGATAACAAGACATAAATCTAGTAGTAACGGTTACCCTTTTCTACACAAGTTATAATTTATCGTTCATAACTGGTCAACAATTCCGTAATTTTCCTTGCATTTGTAACAATCCATCACTCATATTGTAAATTCTTTCGTACACAAACATTCTACGGATTTGACAGGTGTTTATGAGTTTTTAAAAACCAAACTTATATCGAAACAACTATCGAAAACAGAAATTCAAACCCATTTTGTCATTTGTAAGAAAGGAACACGATTTCCATGGTGGATAGATTGGGTGTGACAGAAGTGTACTGGTTATTATCTAACCCACCGACCCTCCCCAAATAGAATAAGAAAAAGAGAGAGAGGAGGGTGCCATGGTTAATGCTTTCATGGGGTTCTGGGAGGAGCTTTATTCCTTCAAAATAGATGGCCCTTGGTTTCTGCAAAAGCAATTCTCTCATGCATAAAACCCCCACCCACAAGATTCTTCCTACTCTTTTCTCTCCACCACACACCTACACTAAAGAGGCAAAATATTTTTCACGTTAAAGAACACACAACATCATGTTACTGTTCATGAGTTTTTATCATTTAACAATTTTGTTTTATATATATATATATATATATATATATATATATATATTGATGTTTTATGGAGAGGAATAAAGATATGATATAATTATGTCCTAAGTCTCTAATTATTTGTGTGGTTAGAAATGAAAATAGGACCCCACGTAAGACGGAACTAATTAGCACCTATCGTTTTAATAGTTCATAGAAACCGTCATATATTCGTAGTTTAGCTTTTTGGTTTGAGATGCCGAACAAAGATTCTAACGGTTGATTTTATGGCAAGTTTTCTAAAACAAGTACTTGTTGATTAAGTTATATCATTCCTAAAAAACTGATAACATTGATTTTGTTCCACAAAATTCTTCTGAATTTGTCGTTTCGAAGAGTGCTTTTAAATTTTAAGACGGAGATATTGCATATATTTACGGTAGACTTTTATAAAGAAAAACTAAAACAATTTCATCGATTATATGTTAAGTTATGACAAAAAAGTACGTTTAGTTTTTAGTAGAAAATGGATAGCCAACATACATATAATGGTACATAAAAGCTATAGAATTGTAGCCATCACACCAATGTTTGGCATGGTTTTGAGTGAGATCTTTGGAAGTTTCTTTAAACAAACACTCAATCATCCCCAGAATCTATCTCCCTCACTTTCTACACAAGAAACTGTAAATATGGTATATATTCAAACTGAGCTTTTTTTTTTAAAACCCTAAAATACTTTTACTTTTGGGCACATGTAATCCTGAAATACATTTATACAAATGAAGGTGTTCATGAAAACGATCTCATTAACATTACGTACTTCTTGTTATAGAGATAAAGTATGCATACATTCGTCTACCTTCTAAAACCCTTATTCGTGTGGTATTTGATGTATTAATTTGGTTCGTGGAATTTATAAAATCCGACTTATTTTTTAATCTAAAAATCATTATCGAGCCAAATTAGGTTTTTTTTTGCTATGATAATAATGGCAACTAGAAGATTATATGTTATATATATATGTAAACCAATTAATTAATACTCATGAAATAATTATATATTATATATGTAAACCGATTAATTAATACATGATCAACATATTTAATTAATAACGCGTTGTTAAATTAGGTCTATTTAACTAAATGGTACGGAAGCTTATTCATAATTAAGAACCTTATAGTTTAGCAAGTTAAATTCTACTATGAGATATATGCCCGTCAATCAAAAATACGTATTTAAAAGGTTTGTTTAGCATGTGGTTTAATGCATAAATAAATTTTATTTGGGTAAACAATTCCTTGTCATATTAAATGCACTTTAACGTCATAAATGAGTACGACTCAGAGGGGCGAATTTACTTACCTTCAAAGGGATCCTGTACTATCATCACAAAATTGGTTTTTTATTATTAACCTGGATATTCAATCCGTTATGCGAGCCATGATCGTAGGGTGACCACCTGTTTTACAGATAGCCCGAAGTCACCGCATTTGAACCTCCGTGGCCACAAGGGGATTTTTATTCCTCCTTGGATTTGAACTTGAAACCTCCTGGCACTTTTGATCTTTGGAGTCAAGCTCAAACCAATCAGGCACCACTCTTGTGGTTACAAAATTGTTTTGGTATAATGTAAAAAAAATTATGCTTTTTAAACGTGCTACCATTTTATTTGTTTGTGTGATACATGCCAACACTTGAGTTTTTTTTTAAGTCGTCTCTAGGTTTAAAATTGAGTGCAAATCTTTCATACACTACTAAATGGAAGACTTTTGCCTACGAATTTTTCCAGGGAAATCCGTCATTAAAGGGTGATTCATCACAAAAGTTGGTGGTTAGTTCAAATCAGTGACGGATTACTCAAGGATTTTCTGGATGATTCGTTAGTATTTTCTCAAAAAACTTTAGATTCCACTGAACCATTGATATTTCTTGGATGATCCGTCAGTAATCATCGGGGAAAATTTACCTGTGTAATTTTTATGGGTAAGAATCATTTATTTTGTAATGATAAATTAAAACAACCGTTCTAAATTTTAAGTAGCAAAAAGATATCGTGCATTCCACTTCTAAACCCCACTTGACTATGAAATCTACTGTATCCATTTGCTTTTATATGAAAAAGATTAATACAGTTTAAAAACCAAGGATTTTTAAAAAAAGAGATGGAGTATCTACCTTGAACATGTGAAAATTGACTCCTTGAAGTGTGAGCAGGCAGTAGAATTGAAGTCTTTAAAAGGTAAGTGGGAATTTTTGAATTAATCGTATGGAATGCCACGTAATCATCTCCATCATCATCATCAAGATCAAGATTCAAGACTGAGATTAAAAAGTGAAAAAAAAGGCAGTTGCTGTCAGACACTACACAACACACACAGTCGTCGAACTTGTACACACACAGACACACAATGGTCCTTATAAGCATGGGCTTGATAACAAAATTTCTTCAACTTCGAAATGGGAGTTTGCTCAAGTGTTAGCCTTTAAAAAGCAACAACAGAATTCAATGCTACTTCCTATTTTTAATGGTACCTTACTGCTAAAATCTAAAGTGTTTTGTCGATCACTATCGTACTCATGTTCTATTAATTTCTTGTTAACATCGTACAAATCCCACCAATTAGAAAAGTGGGTATGATTTTTATGAGTATGAGTGAAGTTTACTTGTAATACTGTTAACATATAAAATTTAATTGGATAATAAAATTAACCACAAGGGTTGTGTTTGATTGGTTTGAGCTTGACTCCAAAGGTCAAAAGTATCAAGAAGTCTAAGGTTCAAATCCATTAAAGATTAAAAATCCTCTTGTAACCACGGAGGTTCAAATGAAAATAGTAAAGATTTCCAAAACTAAGAGTTGTTCTTCACATTTTAAAAAAGGGTAAAACAAAATTATTTTATAACTTTAAAAGATTTTGTAGAATTACTACTTTATAATTATTCTTTTATAAAGTGTACCATTGAAAAATTAAAAGTTTTTAAGAACAAGAATCTAAATGTTTTATGATATATATAGTATAAATATACAAATTAACCGGAATTAATTTAAACTATAAATGAAAAGTTGCATCTCTTAACATCGTAGGTATGTGCTTGTGTGTGTGCATGAGAGGGATTCTTGATCGTAATACATTGATACTACGTACGTGTATCTTTCTCATGAATATTGAAACCTTCGGTACAACAATCCGTTCCATATGTGTTGTATTATAGTGTGATCAGCCATGAATTGCTCTCTGATTAATAAGAATCCGCTACTTACATATAATCTGTCATAATTAAATTCGTTTTATAAAATCTTTGATTTACTGTCTTAGACTTATGATGTCATTAATTAATGACAATAGTACTTAGATTTATAAATTTGTATGTAGGCTTAACTTTATGTGTTTTTTGGGATAATAGTCATAGGATTCTTCTAGTTTCTTTTCAGGCATAGTATGTCAAGAAATTGAATTATAGCTAGTTTACAGTAAAATATAAATTGTGAGCTTCTTATAGACCTCTCTTTTACGTTATGGTTTTACATTCCTAACCCTCGTCCTACCCTCTCTCTTTATTTACATGAGTTAATTTGTTTCTCGAATTAGTAATATAATACGCTACAATGAAAACATATTCATTTTGGAAAAGAAAATTGGGATTTCAAGGGAATATTGAGAGGCTTTTTTTTTTACCTTGAGTTAATGATTGTGGTCATGGTCATGGTCATGGTCAAGGGTAGTAAGTGGTTACATTTATGCAGCTACTTTAGCCAAGAATATGTAAAGATAATTCTGGCATCATATAGAATGACACAATGCACATCTAAAACATTTTTTGCACAAAATTCTCATCATTGAAAAGGGCATATATAATTCCCCCAATTCATATGGAATCACTACTTACACACACATCATGAACTCATCATTATGATCTTTCAATTTAACTCAAAACTAGTTATAAACCCTAAAAAATTCAATTCCTCCTTTCCTCTTTTAACACGGATCATTCATTCAACACAGAACCCTTGCCATCAATTTTGAATCAAACTAGAGAAAACTGATTAGTCTACAAACCAAATTAATACTTAAAACCCCAAACGATGTTATAGAATCTTGAACTATAATGAATCCGGGTTTTTATTAAGCATTTCCCCTGTGTAATAGAGAAGTATGTTAGCGAAGTTAAGAGTAAATTATGTACGAAGTTAAACATGATTAAAAATGATATAATCAAGAAAGATACATATAAAAGAAATTAACTCGCATGATAGCAGTTCGTTGCAACTTACAAATTATAATCTCGACAATAGAACAAAGCAAATTATATGTATATATATCACTAGAATTAAGCCACCATGCCCTAGGGTTTCCAAGAAAACCTTCATATCAGTCCATGGTCTCATTTTCTATCGCATGCAAAGTTTACTTATACATTGTGCATCGAATGCTAAACTCACAATTGCTAGCAATGCACAGAGAAGTGAAAAAGATGCAAGCTTAGAATGGAAAGATGGGAAAACAATGTAAATCACAAGAGATGGGTGGTGGTAGTAGAAGAAGAGTTGAAGCCACTGAGATCAGTTGTACTCCATGCAACATTGCTGGTACCCAAAAACTGCTCATTTCCTGGAATGTCCATAAAGTTTCTTGATAAATTCAACCCTTGCTGTTGATGATGACGATGATGGTTATCCTCCATCTTCATCCCTCCGACTTGTCCACCGTAGTTTGATGGGCCTTCACCATACATCCCAGCGTTAGCAGCTTCCAAAAATGGAAATTGGGCAAACTTGTTACTAGGGTAGTTACTGTCATGACCAAGATGGATCAAATTATTTCCATTTCCACCCGCAAATGTTAAGCCAAGATCTCCACCTCCAAAGTGATTCAAGGGGGGCAAAATTGGAAACTGAGATGGTCGAGTGTTATGAGGCAAATGCCCTAATATATCCGTGGTGCAGCTATTAGGAGAAATCGCAGTATTACTTGTTGAGCTTGTAGTAGCTGATGGGGATTTTGACCTAGAACCCCTTGATCCCTTGCTACTTTTCTTGTTTCTCCGGCAACCACCACCCACCGGCACGTTTCTTAAGGCTCCGCCTCTTGTCCAGTACCGCCGGCAAGTTTTGCAAAAGTGACGGGGCTGTGACAGACTGTAATTGTTGAAGTAGCAGAACTTAGTATTGGTTGATTCACATCTAGGGCATTTCATTGCTGTTTCCGGCTGTGGCAGCTTCCCCATCCTTGCACGCTCAGACATCTGTACAGATCTTGCATCCCCACCGCTCCCCAGTGGTGGAGGTGGTGGCAACAGTGGTGGAGGAAGCTGAGAAATCTCATGATCACCACCAACACCTCCAACTTGCTGCTGTAAAAGCAAGAAAAATCATGATGTGGGTATATTCGACAACAGATTATAAGGGAGAAAAACACAAGGAATATATGAAATCATTGTCCTTTTTTATTTTGAATCAACTTTTTTGTTGTTTTAAGAAGGTGTGAGGGGATAGGATGAAAGTGAAGAGAACCCATTACTTACCTGTTGAGGCCAATTGGGAGGATCTAGATAGGAAGGAAGTGATGAGAAAACCATATCAATTGGGTGCTGATGCTCTAATTCAAAGCTGATCTCTCTCTCTTTCTTTTGTAAAAGTTTGATGGGGTTGAGTATGGTGGAGAATCACATCAATAATAAGAGACTTTCACACAGAGAGATAGGAGCCTGGAAAGATAAAGGAAGGGAGAAGGGTGTGTTGTGTTTATTTATTTTTGTTCCATACTCGTAGCCCACTCTCTTTTTGTCTTCAATTCCACATATATTAATTTCTAGGGTTTCTCTTTTCATAATTCCTAAGCTTGTGATCAACTATGTTTCTTACAATGCCCACAATTTTTGTACTCTCTTCCTTCTCTATATACAAGTTACAAGTTTAAAATTAATGATTGATATACAAATTTTGAGTTCCATTTTAATTATATATATATATATATATATATGTATATATAAAGAGAGAGAGAGAGAGAGAGAGAGAGAGAGAGAATGAATCATTTACAAACCATCATATTAGTACAAACATTGCAAACCAATTTCAACGGTTCATCGACTCTAATGAATATTTGGTTCAATGAATGTCATTGTTGTTTTCTTGTATAAACCAGTTGTAGATCATAATAAATGAACTCTGATAATTTTCCATAAATATCTCAATCATAATAAATGAATCTTCATATTTTCCATAAATACCTCAACCAATTGGTTTTTATGGTCTGTACTCTGTACCAAGTTGGGTCTGTAAATGAAACCACCTATATATATATATAGAAGAGGGATCACTTGAGAATAAGAGTTAAGGTTATAAGTGTAGGAAGAGATACGAACTCTTGATCATTTTTATTCTCAAATCAACCTATGAATTGCGCTTTAAAGACTCGGTGGTGTGCGGATGACGTGTCCTGCGACCAAGATTGCGTCAGAAGTCGTTTTTATATATGATTTAGTATCACATGTGATGGATTACAGTATTACATCAAAACACCCTTATCATATGTGATTTAGTCACATGTGGTGAATGGATGACTTGGCTCGCAACCTAGTTCGCGCAAAAGGTCGTTCACTTCTCTGAGTTAATATTATATGTGCATCATATGTGATTGACTATAGTAAAAGGGTGTTCTCTCTTTCTCATAAAATGTATGAATGTATTTGATCTTGTTTAAACCCTTCCTCATATATATATATATATATATATATATATATATATAGGGACATTTCCTTTACAAACCATCTAAGGGGTTGTTTACCAAACATTTACTCGGCAAGCGCTTACCGGTAAAATTACCTTTTCTGACAAAGACTCATTTATGTCCTACGGGTTTTACACTTGGTGGGTTAGCACTATCGAACCAAATACTTGTTCCTTTGTCAATTAATATAATTGTTTATGGATTGTTTCTTTCCATTTAGGCCAATATGCTCTTTATTGACATTTTTTTTCAACTGAGTGTGGTTCGATGTCATCATGCTCTACCATCTTATCAGTTATAGTATATGTGAATATATCATCAATGGGTACTTATGATCCTTCCATTGACTCATATGTACTCTCATTATTTATTTGAGATTTCTTTGTTCTTGGAATCAATATTAACCTTGGAGCGTCCTCCAGTAATGATTAGTGGATATAGTTATATTCAGATACGATCTCATGAGAATTTTATGTATGGATGATAAATAATTGTGGCTTTCTCTTCTCTTACTTTAGAAGAGTATCTTTCGAACCAAGTAGCTTCCACCACTTCCATATGGTAGCTATGACCTCAACCACACATCCACTATGCGTGATTGCAACGTAGTTTCCATCGATGTTGTGCCCTTGTTCCGTACTTTTAATCTTACATGTATTTTTGTAGCTCGTATGTGTGATCTTATCACTTTTAGAATAATACTAAACGTATCAAGTATCAAGTCTGATTTGTTTTACTTTAACTTTACATTGTGAAGTTTATGGATCAAATAAGACAAAGTGAAATATTCAATGACAATTACTATATTATCCGTGTTTCGTTAACTCGTACAAATTGAGTTAAAAGAATTTTCGTAGAATTATGCATGATATATTTGTACCCTATGCTTAGCCAATTTGTACCCTAGACTAGCTTTGCGTCAAAATGTGTTTATACCTATATTGACGTAAAGTTGAGAATTTAACTTGAAGGGTAAAACCGTCAAATAGTTAAACTATATATATATTATATATATATATATATATATATAAATATTATATATATATATATATATGAGGCAGTTAGGGTTTTTTAAAAAAAAATTTAATTTTATATATATATATATATATATATATATATATATATAATGGCGGTGATGAAACCGCCATTCCCATTCTCATTCTCTCTCTCATTCTCTCTACAATTTTCTCTCTCTACAATTATCTGCCGTCTTCTCTCTAGATTTTACATCAAGTTTGTAAGGGGATCGAGGCAACAATTATATATTCGGAATCCACTCTCCGTACCCTTCTTAAAGGTATAAGTTTCATTCAGTTTCATTAAGGTAATTATGTTAGGGTTATTAAGACCAGTTTATAAACTGTGTTTATATCTAAGTTTACGGACTGATGTTGTCAAAATCATGATATATTTGATGTTTAGAATGCTAGAACTG